ATAAAACAAGAACAGAAAAATAGAGAAAAACAACAAATTGTGGAAATATTCTCATAATTATATCTCTTACTACAAAATCTTATGATTTGTCTCTTTGCCTCTCACTTAATGCTGAAGTTTGTATATGCTAAATCTGCATAATCTGAAGCATGTATTTCTGCAAATATCAAATGTTTCATTACACATACTTTTATTTAAGAAACATTCACTTTACTTGCAAGCATTTTATGATTGTGATAATACTGTCATATAAGTTAAATGAGTAAGGCCTGCATTTTTATTCCTACTAAGAACATTGAGGGACATGCTTTGTATAGCTCACCAGACATATACAGCTAAACAAAGGAACATACAGCCTTCCCATAGACTGCAACATACAGCTTTAGCTCTTAGGTGTTCAGAGTCATGTGTCAGAATTTCTGCGTGAACTCCGATGAGCTCTTTAAATACAGCTACACAAAATAACTTATTCTTCACTGTTCAATGCTATATGTGACTGTCTGATTCTTTTACACAGAAAAACATATTTTGGAAGAATTAGGATTTGCTATTTTTAGTGCACCACTGGGTCAACTGAATTTCTTTATTGCACAGTTCTCCAGTTAATACTAGTACTCACTCATAATCCGAATATGAGAATCTCCACATTGGTAAATATTTCTTGCCTAATTTACTGTATTAAGGTTTTATAACTAATGGAGTTCTCACCATCATACCTCTCGTGCAGCACCTTAAAGTCCATCTACAGTATAAACAAAGTATAAGTCTAGACCAGTGAGTTTATATTGATGTGTTTATATTTATAGACTTAATGAGTAGCATTACTTTAGCATGCTGAAATGACCCAAACTGTGCATTGGTATTTGTAAAGATATATATATAGATATATATGTATCTCATGTAAATATTATTTTTCTGTGATTACATATTTATTTAACTTTGTTGTTTTCTTTCTTTTTCACATTTGAAAGCAGTAGGAGAAGGATAGATGTTTCAACAAAGGACCCTGAGAAACTACAAGTGTTGTGTAGGAGTACATATTGGTTTAATTCACCCTTTATTTACAGATAGTTCATGTTAGTATGCAAAGCTGAAATTGTCATTATGCATGTATGGCTAGTGTACAGTGACAGCACATTTTATACAGATTTCCTATTAACATTTCAGCATTGCATTACTAAAGTCCAGATTTTCCTCTGTAATATCATTTGGATCGTCTTTAGAAATTCTCATACAGCAGATCATTTGTTCAGGTGTTCAGAGTTGCATGTATTTCCAGAGTTCATCTTGTTGAAAGTGACTTTGTTTTGTTTTAGAATGATGTAGTCTTGGAGGTCTGTTCATTTATCATGTTTTCAGTCCAGATGTCAGTGTAGTTTCTAAAGGACAAATCATTTTTTTTTTTTTTTTTTTTTTACAATGACGGTGAAAGTTCTTCGGAAAGGTGTGCATTTTGTTATTTAAAAGATAAAGGACACATACAACTTAATATATATAAATATATATATAATATGTTTCTCTTTCTCACAAACATACTATCTTCCTTTTTCCTCCCCATTCCTCTTTCCTTCCCTCTACATCTTCTTCTTCTTCTTCTCCTTCTCCTTCTCCTCCTTCTTCTTCTTCTTCTCCTTCTTCTTCTACTTCTTCTTCTACTTCTTCTCCTACTTCTTCTCCTTCTCCTCCTCCTCCTCCTCCTCCTCCTCCTCCTCCTCCTCCTCCTCCTCCTCTCCCTCCCTCCCTCCCTCCTTCCTTCCTCCCTCCCTCCCTCCTTCCTTCCTTCCTCCCTCCCTCCCTCCCTCCCCCTCCTTCCTTCCTCCCTCCCTCCCTCCCCCTCCTCTCTCCCTCCCTCCCTCCCTCCCTCCCTCCCTCCCTCCCTCCTCCTCTCTCCCTCCCTCCTCCTCTCTCCCTCCATCCCTCCCTCCTTCCCTTCCTCTCTCTCCCTCCCTCTCTCCCTCCCTCCCTCCATCCCTTCCTCTCCCTCCCTCCTCCTCTCTCCCTCCCTCCCTCCCTCCCTCCCTCCCTCCCTCCCTCCTCCTCTCTCTCCCTCCCTCCTCCTCTCTCCCTCCCTCCCTCCTCCTCTCCCTCCCTCCCTCCCTCCCTCCCTCCCTCCCTCCCTCCTCCTCTCTCCCTCCCTCCTCCTCCTCCCTCCCTCCCTCCCTCCTCCTCCTCCTCCTCCTCCTCCTCCTCCTCCTCCTCCTCCTCCTCCCTCCCCCCTTCTCCCCCCTCCTATGTCCTCCTCCCCTCCCCCCCTTCTCCCCCTACTCCCCTCCTCCCCCTCCTCTTCCTTCTCCCCCTCTTCCTCCTCCTCCGTTTCCTCTTCCTCCTTTTCCTCCTCCTTTTCCCCCTCTTCCTCCTTTTCCTCCTCCTTCCCCCCCCCCCCTCCTCCTCCTCCTCCTCCTCCTCCTCCTCCTCCTCCTCCTCCTCCTCCTCCTCCTCCTCCTCCTCCTCCTCCTCCTCCTCCTCCTTTTACCCCTCCTCCTCCTCCTCCTCCTCCCTCCCTAACTTTCATTTCTTTTTCTTTTTATCTTTCTTTCTAGATTACTCAACTGGGCTTAAGTTAATCTGAAGTTCAGAACTTAATCTTGTGCACCAAAAAAAAAAAAAAATGTTAAAGAAGCACAGATGATTTTTTTAATCATAAATCATTTACAACAAATTTCTCTTGTAAAAAATGTAAAATAAAATCAGATTACATTTTCTTTCATGTAATATTTTCCCCAACAACGAATTTTTGATTGTTGATGTCTAATTAGTCATCTACAACACAAGTGAGAGTACATCCAGTCATGGTGAAAGTAAGAACTCTATACATTATCATATTGTAGACTTTAATCACGCACATAGATTTAAAATAAGAAGAAATGTCATTGGTTGTATAATTCCTAGTACTTTGAAAAAAGTTATTTTCTTAATATGAAAAAAATATTGTATACCAGTGTATATTTGAGTCTACACCAGATTTCCAAGTGATAAATTATCAGCTTATTATTTTTTCCCATAAGTGTAAAACTAAAACAGAAACACTAATCTTGGAACAAGGCCATTTTCTCTTTACAGTCCACTGAAAAATTAAATTTAAACAGACATAAGCATTTTATATGGAATAACTATTTGATAATCCCTAAGGATGAATGTGATATAAAACTAGAGAAATCCTAATCCTTCTTACATATCAAAAATGATCTATACTTTGTAATGGTTTGGTGTAGTGTAAGATGACAAATGGTTATCAGAAATCCAGTTGCCATGACATATATGGAACTGGTACAGTTCATATTAGCCTTCTCCATTCTTTTTTACAAGTTGGACAAAATTATTCCTGGATGTATAACCCTGAAGCGTGGATTTATTTTTTGTATTTATATTCCCTTTAATTTTAACTTCACATAAGTTTTAATGATGTGGGGTGTCTAATAAGGGCACTGAAAACCAGTGCACTGGAACCAAAATTTTAATTTCATATATCTTTTTTATCCTGGTCATATTAGAACATGATATTGTAATTATTTTTGTAAAGCTCTCACACTAAAATGAAAATAATTGATAGACTATTCTATGTGATATTTACAGTATTCAAATGTCCTTTTAATATAAACATTTGAGGTTTAATGTATTTATTGCAAGTTAACCTCTCTGGGACTTGCACAGGAAAGTTGTTAAATTTATTATTTTAGAACCAAATGCTAGTGTATACATAATGGTACCAGCTGTTTGCTGTTACAGTAGTTTATTCATAACTATTTACATTGATAACATTTTTTAGCATTAAAAACTGTTTACATTTTCTTATTTTGTCTTAAAACTTAAAAGTTATTGTTAGAATTACCTATGAATTTCAAATTGTTGGTGGATGATGGGTATATAGGAGGCATGATTCACAGTCAGAAGGTGCTGAGTTGGTGAATTTCTTTTGAAGTTGGCATGTGTACATATTTTACATGACAACCTAGAACTTATAGAAGTGAAGCAAATTACATACTGATAATGCGTTAATTCAGCAACCAGTACATTTTGGTCATGTTTTACCAGAGGTGTTGTTGTTCAGTGATTTAGAATGAAGAGAGGAATAAATTTTGTTGATATTATGAAGTAGTTACAGTTGTGACAAAGTTTTGAAAACAGGGACATTGTTAATTGAAAAGAAATGTAGTGCTGTTTAATGAATGTACAAGTTTCGTTTAGATATAAGCATCATTAAGGACTCAGTTATGACTTCTGGTAAAATCTAACACTAATGCAGATCATAGTAAACCATGAAGATGTAAAAGGATACCCTTTATATAATGATTTTTGGTCCGTGAATAAAATATGTTGAATTTTGGTTTGTACTTTTATAGTGTTCCTCATTTCTTCATTATATTAAAGAAAACTTTCTCTCATTGAACACTGATACATTAACAATGCCAATAAAAAATGCAACTGATATAGTATGGGGGTAAAATTATACTGAGACCTACTCCGATTTTTGGCAGAACTGAAATGTGTCTGGGCGTCCTAATATACATTTTTTTATTATTATTATTATTATTTTTAAAGATTGTTTGCCAATAGCTTGTCTTGGAATGGTACATGGACTGTACAATTCCATTTCATATATTTACAGGTAATTTAGTGTACAGTGCAATAGATCAATGATCAATCAAATCAAATTTTGGTGTATATTTCCCTATAAATACTCACCAGTGATTTGCAAGTCTCAGTTCTTTCTGATGAGTCGCTGAAAACAATGACTTTACTTCACCTATATAACCTGCATTTCAATCCTTATTTAGTCTGCAAGTGTCACAATTTGAGTTGGAGTGACAGCCATAAAATCAATCAAGCTCTTTTTCTTGTTTCACCTCAGTAGTAAATAACCATCTCTGTAGGTCTGACAGTTTTTCATGGGGTAATTTATTTTTAATCATCATCATCATCATTATTATTATTGCTATTAGCATTATTACTTTATTGTTATTATTATTTTTTTTTTTTTTTGTCACAATTTGAGTTGGAGTGACAGCCATAAAATCAATCAAGCTCTTTTTCTTGTTTCACCTCAGTAGTAAATAACCATCTCTGTAGGTCTGACAGTTTTTCATGGGGTAATTTATTTTTAATCATCATCATCATCATTATTATTATTGCTATTAGCATTATTACTTTATTGTTATTATTATTATTATTATTATTTTTAAAGATTGTTTGCCAATAGCTTGTCTTGGAATGGTACATGCACTGTACAATTCCATTTCATATATTTACAGGTAATTTAGTGTACAGTGCAATAGATCAATGATCAATCAAATCAAATTTTGGTGTATATTTCCCTATAAATACTCACCAGTGATTTGCAAGTCTCAGTTCTTTCTGATGAGTCGCTGAAAACAATGACTTTACTTCACCTATATAACCTGCATTTCAATCCTTATTTAGTCTGCAAGTGTCACAATTTGAGTTGGAGTGACAGCCATAAAATCAATCAAGCTCTTTTTCTTTTTTTTTTTTTGTTATCCAAGGGTCTTGCTTTCTCAAACATTAATATCTCACGCCTAATCACAAAAGATCTACAATCTTTGAAGGTATTCTATTATCACATCTACACATGCAGATGGATGGATGGATAGATGAACCTTGATGACTACCAATAAAAATAATGAATAGCGTTTTTTATTTGGGTGTGGAGGCTGGGAAGCGACCCTACCAGTTGGTCCATCGATGACTACCCATAAATACTCCATCGGATTTTAGTCATAAAAATCCGAGAAAAAATTTAATCCTCATTAATTAAATATCACTGTTAGGGTAAAAGATTCGTAGTAAAGTTTCAATCCATAACTTATCCAGCAAGAACGCTGTCCATGTGCCTCGTACACTGAAGTGCTGAAAAAATGTCTGAGGCAATATCTTTGATAAGAAGGCAAGCTACAATAATACCGACAGTGTCCTTACTGCCAAAATAATGGGGAATTATAACATCAGTGACCCTTAATGCCAACGGCAAGAATCCACATTCAATGAAAGGGCGCCAATCAGCTGTTTGTTGCCCTCCTTTGCACGTTAACTTCCACAGGTCAGAGATCATTATCATCCACAAGATAGGGATGCTTTCAATAGAAGACAGCGATTTGTAAGGGTTCCTTAATTACTGATGTAAGTTTGTGAATTGTTCTTCAATAATTTTGTATCAACAATGTAGATGTCATAATATTGTATTCTCGACAGACAAAACAGGCTTCTAATAAATTTGTCTTTCTTTCAAGTGGTTCTTGTACAGCTATTTACTGACCATTCGTGCGCAGCAGAAACCCAGGGCAGATTATGACAGACAAAGTGTAGTTATAGTACAGGTATTAAATTAAGCTGTATTCGTCCTAAGAGCTCATTTTATTCACACTATATATTAAAGTCTTCTCAATATCCATATAACTGGTGCGTGCTGCAGTAGGGAAAAAAACAAAGCTCGAGGCGTCAGATGATCAGGTGAGCTAAACGAAAAGCCGCTCTAACCGAAGACGATCCCTGATCGCTATGGCATGAAGCTTTCAGAAAGTGGTAGACCCTTCGTCAGGTATGCCAGCGAATCGTTGGATTCGCAACGTCTTTTTTGCCAGCAACTACGGGCGAGAGCTCGTGGGTGCTGGAAGTGACTGGCTTGAGAACGGAACTCTACAGCCCCGCGATAGTTTGCGCAAATATATTGCGTTAGCGTACCGCTTACCAGTTTTCTCACCTGGTGGGACACAACCATCCATGGCATAATGGCATAACGCGACCGTGGAGGCCCACGTGTATGGGTATGCTATAGGCAATATCCTGACGAGGCGTCGGTCGGGCCAACCGTTACACACGAGAATCAACTAAAAAAAAAACTCTGCCAGGCCCTGGATCTGGCAAGAGGTCCTTGGACCAGTTCCGTTTTTCTAACTTTCCTCATATCGTGAGTGTTGAGAAAAAGTCGTAAAAAATAAATGAAATCAGTCAATCGAATATGTAAACTTCAACACCAAACTACAAGTGGGGAAATGTCTGAAAGCACACACAAAACCAGGCATAGAGCAATACCCACCTAGCTAAAAATAGCGGCAACGGAAAAAAGAAAAAGTCTTGCCCATGGCTAGAAGTGCATGAATGGTGTTGAGGGGGATTCACGGTCATGGCCCCAGTTGCATGATTAGGACTGCAAGAAAGAAGGTTGAGAACCATTCTAAAACCACGTCTTTCAATCTAAACATTAATAGCTTTCTTGTGACTGCGAACTTCTTGTCGACTGGCCATAGGTTGCTGATTAGCTGATGGATCGAACAGAAAAGTTAATCAGAGTAAGCATTACACTTCCTCTCACCTACCAACCACTTGTTACTTAGAAGAATTAAGCCTTGAAGGTAATATATGCACTGAAGTGTAATTGAAGTGCCTGAAGGACCCAAGAAAAGGACGAAGGTTCTCAATGGATGTCAAGAGGCCATTCACAATTACCTCTAAATTATCAAGTGCCTTCTTCACAGTGAAGGTTGA